ATTCTTTTAATTCCTCCCATTCCCGAGTTTTAGCTTTAAACACTTTCATAACGAAATTACTAAATAATATCCATTATCTTTTCTGTAACTGTTTTTTCCCTGGCACTTTTTTATCTTAATTTATAGTTTTTTTTTCTCCCCAAGCTTTAACTTTAATTACTTTCATAACAATTTTGCTTTTTTCATTATTAAATTCTTTACACTATTTTATTGTTATTACTATACTGATTTTGACTGCTACTAATTGCTATTATTTTGATAGGAATCCATGAAAATGTGTGTTTTTATATGTAAGGATTTAACAAAATTCATGATTTCCAGGACCTAGGATCAGCTAGCCAGCATATTATAAAATCGAAAGTAACATATCCTCTGATATGTCTTTATTATTTTAATGTTTTAACATCATTTGAAAATCTCAGGAGCTTAAAATGTTTTAAGTGTTAAACTATCATCCAATGGAAAAGGTATTAAAAAAAATTTTTTTATCAAGAAAAAGATTCTAATATATAAGAAAAATAACAATTCAAAAGAAAATAAAAAGAACTAATTTTATCTAAACATTTGGACTTTATCTAAGTCACTTAAATCACAATAGGTATTGTGTTTGTTATTTACTGCTGGACTTTGAAAAAAAATCTCGAAAGAATTATCTTTATTCAAGTAATGAAACTTAAGTTTTTAGCAGAGATTAATAAAATAACATGTATTAAGAGAACTATTTTAATTTAAATTCTTAATTGGTCGAATCAAAAAAATTGAAGCGTAAATGGAATTTCTCTGATGAAATGCGATAAAGTTTTACTTAGTGTGATTTTGTGTTGTGTCTTAAATAAAAAAAATTAAAGATAATTCAAGGAAAATAAAGGCAGCATAATAAGAGCCCCAAAATATAGATCTTCGGTGAAAAAACAGTTTTAATTTAAAAAGTGTTCTATCTTGGGATATTGCTTTCCTGTCCAAACTATTAGGACCATATTTCCCAGACTGTGTCTACCTTTGATATTTTGGGAGTCAGAAATCCTAATCAGTCGAAAAAAAGCTATATTTATTCAGAGAAAGTACGTTTTTCTATCTGATTCCGTAACCTAAAACATCGTCTGCACTAATTAATTAGCATATTTGAAGTCCCCCCCCCCCTTGAATCTTTTACGATTGTATCCTAGAAAGCGAACATCCGATCATTAGATTAAAAGTTATTCACGGTGGTCTGTTTTTAATTTGGCTCACTGTATATTTATAAATAAGGGGACTTAATGTGACCACCGAGCTCTAATCACTTCACGGAATTTTATGTGTATTCGTATTTTTATTCGTTTCTAAAGTCAATGTAAAGAAATGTAATTTCACTACCATCCTTTTATTTTTTTGCAGATTCTACGAACCGCGTTCGATTTTATCAATACATTCTATGGCATTCAAACATTGTTTATTAAAGAAAGATATAGCCTCTCTATGTGTTATTACATAATGTAGAGTATCAGAAACAATTTTCTGAATAATCTTATCATGTCTTATAATCTTATAAACAATAACAGAATAAAATGTTGCTTCTTTTTTAGAATCTAGAACCAATTTTTGTAAATAGTTGGTTTCATAATCAGTTTTCACAGCAGATGTCGCCACACAAACGTATTATTTGATATGGACAGGCTGTCGTTCTGTGGTTGAGGGTTTATTCACCTTAACTCTTTCAATTTATTTATTTTCAGTGCATTATATCGCCCTCTATGATCGGTCAGTGGAACTATTTAAAAATTGCAAATTTTTAAATATGTTAATACTGTTTTTTAAGGTAATTCTTCCTGCTATTTTTTACATTATTATCACATTTTTTATGTTGAAGGGAACGTTAACATTTTTAGCAATCTATTCTTATTTGTTATTCCTACATCACTTACTGATTATTAAATTTTGTAAATTCATTAAAATATACGAAGTTCTGTAAACAAAACCCAAAATATCCACTATCTTTGTCAATAATGACGTCAAAAAAGTATACTTTTAAGAGTATGCTCTTAAGAGACATCAAATTTATATCTAAGCGAGACCGAGGAAAATATAGACACTCGGCAGAATTCGATCAAATTATACGTGGAAAAATTTTAAAACCACACTGATTACTTGCTGAAACTTGGAAGTAGCTAATAATTCCTATTCAACTCCTTGTTATTTCCTAGGGCAATAAAACAGGTTTTAATGTTTTTAATTTCGCTTTCCTAAATAGTGGTTAGCTAAATTTTTTAGTGGATTTTTGTTTTTCCTCACTTAAGAAATAATTTTAAAACCTCAAAAATATATTATTTCTTCCCTAAATGTTTGACACGAAATCTAAGCATAAACATATATTAAAGGCGAAAATTACAGAACACTCGATATTGTCAATCATATTTGCTGAAACAATCGATGCCAAAGCCGTAATTTTGAACAGTATTTTGTATATCAATATTAAATGGGACATCATCTGTAAAATTATTAAAATTAAAAATCAGTTAACAAATCCTACCTTAAACCTTTTTTAAAGAAAGAAGACGAAATTTCGTAAAATTTAAAGGCTCAATGTTGAGTATTCTCAAAATCAAAAAATCTGTGAGAATGTTATAAAAGATGTTTTCCAATACTTTAGCTGAAATTATAAATAGATAGTTAATACAACTAACACTTTTTTTTATTAATATTGCGAAAGAAATAATGTGCTTCGAAAAAGTAATTCGTTTGAGTTCATAATGCATTTTTAAAAATCGTCGGTAATATATCGTCGGTAATATCGTCGGTACTAGAGTTAATCTAAGCCTGAACCCACTCGAGACAGAAGACTTCACATCCAAGTCAGCCGAGTCCGAAATTAACCCATTTTAGGCCAAGCATATAAATTTAAATAAAATGTGATAATATTTTCATTGTTTTTTTATATTTAAATTATATTCAATTCGACACAAAAATGGTTCATGCATGAAAAATAATATTTAATTTAAGAAATAAAATGGGTCGCATAATGGTGAAATGAGGTAATATGTAAATCATTTAGTTGAATGCTAGTTTTTTTTATGAAATTCGTTTGATTTTTATTTTATTTACAGAACTTGCAAATTTAATCCATCATAAAAACATATGCTTAATTTCAAATAGAATAATTATACATTTTCAAAAAGTCAAATTTGTCAATAACTGTTTATTTTATAGATGGCTTCAGAACCCTTGACAATAGTAGAAAAATAAAATTAGTGAAAAATATACGTCACGGTGTCAATAAAAAAACTTTTTTTTTGAAATGGTGCGTTTGGCCAAAAATGGGTTTTAATAGAATTTTTTTTTTGTGCCTGAATCCAACAAAGCCGAGATTTCATAGGCCTCTATCCTCGCAGGTAAAATTTTTGTTTTCTTGATAATTTTTTGTGCTTAACTAACTTTCATTGATATTGTATTTTTCAACAGCATATATTTCAAAAAAGGTGACAAATGAAAGGGCTGCTTAATTGAGTAAGGAGAAATAGTGTTTGATAATGTTTAGAACTTCTATGGAATTTTCCTCAAAACTATAAAGCTATAAAAATATGCGATATGTGATTTTGAGTCAGAAATTGAAATTACACATTAGTCAATTTTTCGATTTTTTAAAAATTAGTTTTATTATTGTTTGAACTCATGAAAACCGATTTGGATTATGCAAAAAATTATTACGACGTAAATTGTAAATAAATAAATAAAGATATTTATCAAAAATCTAAAAATAGACGAATGTATAATATTAAACTGCCTTAACTACCTTTAAAAAACAGATGATTGTAAAACGTTTTTCATAAAATTTTGTGAGAAAAAATTAACCCATTTTTATATGTCCGAAACTTTTATATGTCATGTCGCAAAAAACTCCAAATAAGAATGATTTTTTTATGTTTTATTTTTTTATTAATATTATTATTTATTAAACTAAATGAATGTTTTCTTCTGTTAGATACTATTTGATTTTTGAGAAGATTAAAAGGCATTTGCTTGATATGAAAACTATTCTGTGTTTGATACTAAGAGTTCTCGTAGAATTCTCGTTTTTCACATGACACATGTGTCACACTGAGTCAACATGAATTTTAACACTAGATTGCCTAAGGAAGTCATTTTGACTGCTTTTAATTTCAATTAGAAAAACAATGATGTATATAATGACACAATTTTTTAGAATTTTGTACAACATGTAATTTTTTTATTGATAATATTACGCAAATGTAAATAATATAAAAAATATTAAAAACTAATTTTAAATAAATTTTTTTAAACATTATTTATACTTTTACAATCCAGTCGCTTTGACTGCAATATAGGTATATACTAAGATTCAGTCTTTCTAGTGTTAAAAGAGGATCTGAAATACCACACGTTTTATATTTCAAATTTTGATTGGGTGACAGCTTTGTATTTTACGCGTATAGAAAGATACTAACAGAATAAATATCTACCATTTATTTGTGAAAATTAAATAAAAGGTTTAAAAGAATATTTAGAATTTTATTAGATAGAGGCAAAAATTCATGAACGAAAAAAAAATTTGGAGCACCGTCCACAGTCTAGATGAAATGCACTATTTAGAATTCTTAATTATGTATGAAGAGATCTAATACTTCTAAATATTTATAATTAATAATTTTTACACTTATTTATACTTAAATAATGGAATAAATCGGATTTTTTTTAATCCGTTTCGTTTAAAGTAAGTATAAATGTATGGCATTTTTGTCATTAGCCCGAGTACGAAGGCTTCTTTTTGCTGTTGAGCTGGAGTCCGAGGCAGAACCGGGCTCGGGCTAAGCTCGTCTCACCTCTGGTGGGTAAATTTTACTATCTCGATAATTAAAGCGAACAGTAATTTAGCTGAATAAAAATAAACGATCACTATAAATATTTTTGTTCATCAAAATTTTATTTTAATTACTATAAAGGAACGGCATAATAATGATTATAAATAATTATTTTGTGTTCAATAATTATAATAAAAAACATAATATTTCAAGTTTAATTTAATATTTTTTTCTTTTCGAGATTTCCTTTACACTATTTATAATTTAAATATCTAATTTTATATTAAATAAAACTGTTCTTAGTTCAGACATTCATGAAATCCACCGGAAGACCTATGAAGTTGATCCCAGACCATAAACTGAGCAATCAGACCATAAACATTATAATTTTTATTTATAATTTTTATTTATAATTTTTTTTTTAAATTTTTTTTCTGATAATTTAATTTTCAAAGCCATATAAAGTCGAATTCTGATCTTAGCTAGCAGGAAATTCCCAAGGCGTTTTATAACTGTACTTTTGGCAGCAGCAATCTTCTTTATTGTTATTACCATTTTGTCCGTTATTATTCGATCCAGATCCACCACTTTGACCGTTGTTATTAGGACCAAATCCACCACCTTGTCCGTTGTTATTAGAGCCGTATCCACCACCTTGTCCGTTGTTATTGGAGCCGTATCCACCACCTTGTCCGTTGTTATTAGAACCGTATCCACCACCTTGTCCATCGTTATTAGAATCGTATCCACCACCTTGTCCGTTGTTGTTAGAACCATATCCACCACCTTGTCCGTTGTTATTAGAACCATATCCACCACCTTGTTCGTTAATATTTGGTCTATAATTAGCATCTTGAAAGTTGCTTGGATTATTTCCCTGACCACCAGGTGGAGGAACCCAAGAAGAACCCGAGTTGCCTATTTGTTCGTTGACGTAATAAAATGAAGGGGCTTTGTCACATTCCGTACTGTACCAGTAATCACACGCTAATATTTCTTGGTTAAATATTGTTCCTCGTCCACATAAGAAGCTGTCTTTTCTGCCATCATGACACACGTGGTACACCTATAAAAATGAAGATATTAGAAGCATATTAGTTTTATGTGTTTTTTACCATGTTTTTCAATGTATAAGTTACCTTTTCGTACCCGAAATTTCAAGGAGAGTTGGAGATCGACTTATGCACTCCACGGTAAGTACATTTGAACATGTTGGTAAATGATTGACTGGTTCAAATGTACTACTGGTGTATAAGTCGACTTCACGAACGAAGATTGTTTAGAGGTTCACGTATACACCGGTAATATATTTGGACTCAATGACGAATGGTCACTCCTTCAAGAATACCGAGTCTAGGAATAGATTTGAACAACAAAATTGAAATGAATGTTGATTGTGATTACCACTTGATGCTAGCAAATGGTTGCTAGTCTTAAAAGCGTCACATTAGCAATAGAACTAAAATTAATAAACTTCAAACACTTATTTGACTAGCAGTCCTCTTGCCAGCAAAAACTGGACACTGTGTAAGCACATCCAAAACAAGTTACTAATTTTTTTAACGAAATCTACTGCGCAAAATACTCTCTATGAATATAACGTGTAGAGAATTCTTTATTATATTCATTAAAATTAATATTAATAAGCAAATATTTAAAAATTTGTTCAAAGATGCCCCAATATCAGGGACTAAAATTCGAAATTTTCGCCTTTTTCCGCAAGTTTGATTTCTTAAAATTATATTATGAAAATATTCAACTCTCGTATGAACAGCTTAAAAAGAGCCCATAACATAAATATAATATCGATTATATAATGGATATATCTTCTTCGGCGCTGAAACACAGAATGAAAGAAAGAAAACAGAGAAAACACAAAATATCCAAGTGGTATTCAGAGCTCACGATTTCTATTCAGAAGGAAGAAATCTTTGTCATTGTTAAAATAGAATGAAAGAGGGTAACTCAAGTATCCAAGTTTTAGTATGCTCTTTCCTACTTCAGTTCAACACTAAACAATTTCTTCTTATTTTTTTTTTTTAAACAGGGAGCCGAAACTATTGTAAGGCTGCTTACTTAGCATTTTTTCATTTTTTTCACATTGCTTTAACCATATACATAAAAACTGATAAATTTAGAGGGGTGATAAAAGACATCAAGAGCGTGAAAACTTGTCATAGAATATGGGGCTCCAAAAATGGTAATTGGGGGAAAATCGCCGAAACATCACGCTGGAAAACAACCGCAAAAGATACCACAATTTTGGTAAAGGCGGAAAGACTTATTTGGTTAGTTATTATTGGAATTATTTGAAGCAGAGTATGCTGACGTCAAACTACAGCGACATAAAAACGATATCCAGACGAGCTTGAAGATCCAAGGTGTGATTTTGTTGTCTGTCAAAGTCAGGACAACCTGTATTACTAGATTTTCTGGCATGGGCAAGCACCTCCGGGAGTCATTTTTACTTTACATTCTCCATTGCTGTCTCACTGTCTGCATTGTTGTCATATTATAGATTTTAAGAACGTAAAAACGACTCTCAGATATAATAGAATATGCCAGGTGTGCTTTTTATATCTTGCAAAGCTACAACAATCCTTGCTCTGAGATTCTCCGACACTGTTAAATGCATCCGGGAATCATTTTTATGCTATGTTCCAATGGTTGTCCACGTTCTCGATTATTGTTCCACGTTCTCGATTGTTGTCCCATCATACGTTACAATGACGTAAAAACGAAACCCTAAAGCATTCGAAGATATCAGATGTGCTTTTAATGTCTATAGAAGATATGATAATCCGTGCTTTGAGCTTCTCTGGCAACGGCAAGCGTATCCGGAAACCATTTTGTGTCGTTGTAGAATGCACAATGTCATCAACGGACACCACTTAAAACAACTCTTGTATACATAATTCAAATATACCTTTTAGTTGGTAACAAGTTTGTAATATTTTTTGTAATTTTTTTTTCCAGCGTGACGTCAAAATCTGCATGCTTTTTTTAAACGATTCATCCTGGTTTGGTACCCCAGATAATAAATTATTTATATTAATAAGTTAAAATAATTAATGGAAAAATCGAAAAAAAAATGCTTACGTGAGTAAAATTTACGAACTAACCTGGCACTGAGCTTCCACATCAGCGTATAATCCTCCTTCATAGACTTGGTCATCACATCGAAAATTTGTTGTTGGGATTGAATTGTAATTTGGATAATCAACTCCCGCTGTACCACGAAACATATTACTCATATCACCATTGTTATTCATATCGCCATTGTTATTCATATCCCATCGTTTCTGCTGCAAGAGAGAGAGAGAGAGAGAGAGAGAGAGAGAGTAAGTTGAACCTTTTCAAAAATATAATTCGAAAAGGAAACTTAATACAAAACTAATAGAATTCTGTGGGCCGGGACAGCCTAGCTGGCAGGGCACTGGAATCCTGTTCGTGTGAACGGGAGTTCGAATCCCGACGACCGAAAAGTCCCCGTGTAGTAAATGGTGATTGGTGCACGCTAAATCTGTCGGGTCACAGAGTACTCCATTTTTCTGTAACAAATTATACCTCTGGGGGTACTGAAATGAAAATTGATCTTTCTCTGGTTCTGGTCGAAAATTACGATCTGTGGATGAAGGAATGGGTCCGCTCTACAAACGGGTGTGACATATGAAAGTAGCAGAAGACTAATTCATGGGCATAGATGGCGCCACTGAAACACAAGAACAATCGCACCCCACCTGTGTTAATGGACGACGACAACAATAGAATTCCATATTAGAAATAGATAGTATAAGGGTCGCTCAAATGAAAGTAGCACTACAGTCGGTTTGATAAATGGTTTTTAATGGTGTTAATATTATTTAGAATTAAAAGAAAAAGAAGTAATACAGGCATAACAGATAGGATAGACATAGTCCCCCTGTAGGCTGAAAAAAGTGCCCCCAGGTGGTACAGGGATAACCTGGGTGAAGAAGCTCCTAGGTTGGTTGTGAAACCAATTCTCAACGGCAGCTTTGACCTCACTATCGTCGGTAAATCGCCGTCCCTTCAAAGCTTTCTTGAGTAGACCAAAGATATGGTAGTCACTCGGCAAGAGGTATGGGCCATACCTGCCAACTCTTCCGGATTTTCCGGAAGATCTTATTTTCATATTTAAAGTGGTAGCAATACTCAGGTTATTCCAATTAACTTTTTGAATTATAATGGTAATTATAAATGAGTTTGACCACCACTACATATAAATAATTACAATAAATATATAAAAGCATAATAATCCTTGCGCAAGCGAGTTTCAACGGAATCAAATATAAATATATTTCTGAGTGAGATTGTTTTTCGTTTATTGTTTTATAACCACTCTGAAAATCCATTCTCGGATAGAGTTTAAGTTGGCAGGTATGGTATGGGCTGTAAAGGGGATGTTAGAGATCCTCCCAGTGGAATTACCGGAACAATGTTTGGCACATAAGAACGGGCATTATCATGCATACAGTTAGGAGGCATCTATGACGCGAACGATGCCTTTTAGCGAGCTTCTACGCTATCACGCACGTATTTGGCGAGATCCGACAATATAGCATGCATTTCCAGCACTCTGCGCGATCTATAGGAGCAAGCGCAGTTAAATTTCACTTCAAATATAACAGTTATTACAGCAATGCTACCATTAAAATTTATCTATAAAATAAAAATGAAATTTTTCCTAATATAACAATATTTAGAGACTATTATTTCGGAAATATAACAGATTAACAAATGAAAACCATTAAAAGTTACATAAAATTTATAAACAACTTACCCGTCTGAGAAGATTTTTCGACTTTGTACTTGATACGCCACCTTTAAAATACAAAAATGAGCATTTTGTTTTTATTTTATTACATATAACTTAAATTGTCTAAATTAATATAATGCAACAATAAATGAACTAGAAAAACTAGTTAGAGCTTAAAATTGTTAAAACATTTATACCCATTTGCGTCAAGCATGCTTCGAAACAGAATAATAAATTAATAAATAAATAAATAGCTAAAATTAAAATCAGTAAAATAAAAAATTATAATATTGCATTAGTTTTATTTCTTCTATAGACACGAGGCTGTACTGTTTTCCATATTATGTAAGAACATAAATACATGTGTTTGCACCTGAAGTAAGCAGATAGGGTCCTTTCAAAGCTAAAGTGGTAGAAGGTAGAAGAAAATATCCAGCTTGTTTAAGCTTACATAAACTTGTTTCGTAAAGTCAAGTTTGAAAGGCATTAATAACTAAGAATGGAACCAACATTTAAAGAAGTAAAAAATGAGGTGATTTCATTTAATTACGATTTTAGTCTTTCCTCTTGTCTTCTAGGTCTCTCTTTCATAACTTGAAAGAGTAAGGGCTGGCCATGCTCCTGGTGCAGCAATTGAACTTTCTTTAACAACTGGACCCCACAGGCCGCTTTCGGCCCTTTTCTTATCCATCTTGAGCTTGTGATCTTTGTAATGGTACTATGACATGCCCGCCAATTCTTACGGATTATCGAAAATATTTTATTTTTACATTTATATGGTAGCAAAATTTTCACATTCATGCTTGATTCCTGTTTTAATAATTTTGATATTTTACTAAATTAATAAATTTACCTAAACGTACTTAGTGCATCAAAGGGAAAAAATAGTTTGTAAATAAATGTAAATAAATATTTTACGTGAACTCTGTGGTCGGTGTGAGGCGGGTGCGGATCGGCATTGAACAACAAACCCAATTCTGAGTTTACGACTATCAGTGTTCTACTCAATAACTTATAATTTTGAACCCAATCCAGATGACAAGGGAACTCTTGAATCAATCATTGGGACAAACTAGCCTTGGTGGAGGACTTTTTGATAAACTAACTCGTATTTACGTTACATAAAGAGGAAAACCACAAAAACCTCCAAATGCTAGCCCGACGGCAAGGGGACTCTAACCCATGAATCGTCTACCACTGAGGATATTTTACGTCAACACTATGGTTGGTGTGAGCTGGGTGCGGAATTCGTATCGACCAGTCATTGCTAGGATTCGAACCCAGTTCCCTCATTGAGACAACTTTACGCAAGGGATCAAAATTGTAATGGCTTGTCTTCAGATCATTCTCAAGGGCACTTCATAAACCGTCGCCAATATACCATGGTGAGCTGTGGTGGCTCAGGAGATAGAGTGCTCACTTCCCAATAACTTGACACAGATTCAAATATAAGCGTTGGCTGGTCGATATGAATTCTTCTTCCATCTCGCACCGACCCCAGATAAGACATGAAAATATCCTCAATGGTAGAGGGATCGTGGGTTAAAATCCACATGCCATCTGATTAACCATGGCAGGTTTTCGTGGTTTTCCTCTCAATATAAGGCAACTGCAGATTAATTCCAACAAAAAGTCCTCCACGAAGGCTAGTTTATCTCAATGCTTGATCCAGGAATTTCCTTGTCGTCTAGATAGGGTTCAAAATTTCAAGGGTGGAACATAGGTAGTCGTAAACTCAGAATTGGATCGGCTGTTCGTCACCGGTTATAATATTAAATAAAAAATTGCTAATGGTACAGCTCTAGTACTACTACAGCTACTAATGGTACAGCTCTAGTACTTTGTTTTTATGAATTCCAATTAAAAAATTTGTCTACGCAGAATTTGGGTGGTCTTGTATCCCTTACTTTTAGTTTCAAACTTGGCCGAGAAAGGCTTTATATGAATAAAAAAAATTATAACATGAATGAATGCAACTAAACAAACATAAAAAAATCAAGACAAACCAGTTTTTGATACTTACTCACAAATAAAATCGATGTTATAATAATCCAGATCATCATTGTTGAAATAAATTTAGTTTAATTGTCTGCAATGAAATATGTATGTTAGTAAGTAACAGTCTAGGACTAGCTTTCATATTAAAATTAATAATGCGTAAATCGAGGATTTGCAATAAGATAGATTTATTTTGAGACATTAAGCGTTGTAGGAATACAAATTTGCTAAACTACATCGCATTTTTTACATTTGCTATCCTTTTTAAGTTTTTATGAACTGTACGAACTATTTAGGAAGATATGGGATATTACTTGAAAGAATGATTTAAGAAAATTTACAATAATAAACAGAACTAGACTAAGCATTGAATTATTTTTGGCATTATTTTTTTGAATTGGCATTAAATTACTTAGGGAAACAAATTTTTTGTTCTATTTGTACAAGTACTTCATTTTAATTCAAGTGTGATGATATTCAATCTGCAATAAGTTTTTCTTCTATAGCAATAGCTCTATTAAAATGGTATTTTTTAATTTAGTTGAAATGTACAATTTGTTTACTTTTGTTGAAATGTATAAGTTTATGAAGAACGTATAGATTTATATATATTTATGCATTTATCTGCTCCTTTGAAAAGAACACTAAATCAAAAAAAAAATGATCATAACATCATAAACTGAGATGAATAATCGTCTTCCTTCTACCACGCCCTCCTTACCAGAGAAGTGGGGACACTTAGTAGTCACTAGAGTTAATTTCAGAATACTATGGTTTGGACAATATTATTAAATTGCAGGAAAACTCTCTCTCACTCTAATATATATATATATATAATGCGTNATATATATATATACATATATATATATAAGTCGCTAAAACCCGATAATAAGTTCGTTATATGGAAAATTCGTTAAATAGAAAATCACCTTTTGAAATATTTAAACTACACAAAACAGGTTTGAAAATCATAAGAATTAGACATAATTAAAAAACCAATTAATACTCTTTTACTTTGTAAACTAGTATATAATATTTTAGTATATACTATTATATACTAGTTTATTTTATAAATCTTAACCATTAAAGAAATCTGCATGGAAAGCAAGAATAGAGCAAAACATTATCATGCTGCATTATGCGTTGCACTATCATGCTGCATACATTTTAAACTAAAGCTAAATTTATGTATAAAATTTAGCATTTATTATAAAAGTTATTCCAAACATACATTACCACTTGCGTTCTTAAGTTTAATTACTACTCTTTAAATCCCTTAATTTTGTGTAAGTTTTTCGTTTGAAATGCAAACAAAAAGGGAAAGGGATTTTACTGCTTTCTCTAAAAGTTAAGTGGCTTCGAAAATCAATTCAAGGTCATGCGTATCAATGCGCTAACAAGTTTGAAATGTTTTGAAATAAATGCTTTTCAAAGAAAATATAAAAACTGCTAAATGGTGAAAACAAAATAATAATAGTGCAAAATGATTTTTTTAATTTCAAATAAAAATTGTTTTCTCTCAAGCTGAGATAAAATGAAAAAAGTGCGAACTAGGAAATTAAGAAATTTAATAACGGAAAAAAATCGTCCGGCGTTATAAAAGAACAAAAGCTATGAAATATTTTCATTTCTTGTTATTTTACATATTTCATGAAATTTCACTTTTACGATTAATTTATTTAAATAATCTTTTTTCTTCTATTCTTGTTGCATTGTATTATCTATTCGTCTTGTATATTCTTCGATATAATCTTCAATATTTTTGTGTTCTATTTGTCGTGTATTATATTGCATTTTATTTATCCTTCTATTCTATTTGTCTCTCGTTTACTGTATATTAAATTAAGTAATTTATTTTATTTAACTTTCAAAATCAACTAATAAAAATCAGTTAAATTAATTATTGAATAATTATTAATTAAACAATTATTTGATTAATCTATTTAAATTATCTTCTTTCTTTTATTCTATTTGTTTTGTATTCTATTTGTCTTGTATTACATTGTATTCTTTTTTTCTACTATTCTATTTGTTTATTGTTTATTATATATTAAATTAACTAGTTTGTTTTAATTAACTTTCAAAATTACGTAACAAAAATAATTTAAATATCATGTTCTTTAAATTTAATTGTTCATTAACAGACATTAATTTTACTGTCAAAATTTATTACCAGTAACTTTCAAAAGTTTTGCTTTTTCTCGTGTATTCTTTTTTCAAACAGATGAAAGCTGGCAACTATTATTTCATTTTTTAAATTTATTTTGGCGAAACAAATGCATTCGTATTTATCAAAATAAGAACAAAAAATACTTTTAGAAATGAAATTTGTTTTTAGTGGTTAAAATCTAAGAATCCTCATGGTGTCTTATAAGTATCTAAATTTCATCAGTAATTTGAACATATAGTTGTAAATTTGTATAACATATGTTTGAAATGGAATAGTCTGTTACAAATTAAAATGATTTTATGCGAAATATTTCATTTACTCCAAGTCTCATTGAACCTGCCTTTCCCTATTATTGAAATTAAATGTTATTATTTTTTAGAATTCTATTTTTATTTTTTATTTTAATTAATTTGATAAAAAATTTTTAAGTGTTAATGTTTAATAGATAAAGTATCACAAATAGGAACGATAAGAAATTATTTGTACTGACCTGGCGAATGAAGAGAATGCGAATTAGTAAATTAGTGCCAAATTTTAATGCCAAAATTTACTTCTAAAACTTGCTTAACCCATTAACCACCAAAACTTTTGTTCTCTCTAGTGTTCTTTTTTAAACAGATAAAAGCTGGCAACGATTATTTTATTTTTTGAATTATTTTTGGTGAAACAAATGCATTAGTATTTACCAAAATTTAAAAAAATCACTGTTAGAAATGAAATCTGTTTTTAGTGGTTAAAATCTAAGAATCTTCATAGTGTTTTATAAGTATCTAAATTTCACAGTAATTTGAACATATAGTTGTAAATTTGTATAACATATATTTGAAATGGAATAGTCTGTTACTAATTAAAATAATTTTGTATGAAATTTTTCATTTTCTCCAAGTTTCATTGAACCTGCCTTTCCCTATTATTGAAATTAAATGTTATTATTTTTTAGAATTCTATTTTGATTTTTTATTTAAATTAATTTGATAAAAATTGATTAAGTGTTAATGTTTAATAGATAAAGTATCACAAATAAAAACGATGAAGAGAATACGAATGAAGAGAATACGAATTAGTAAATTAGTGCCAAATTTTAATGCCAAATTTACTTCTAAATCTTGCTTAACCCATTAACCACCAAAACTTTTGTTCTATCTCGTTCTTTTTTAAACAGATAAAAGCTGGCAACTATTATTTAATTTTTTTAATTTATTTTTGTGAAACAAATACATTCTTATTTACCAAAATAAGAAAAGAAATCTGTTTTCAATAGTTAAAAATCTAAGAATCTTCATTTGCTAGCGTGTGAAAGTATGAGATTATTCAAATTACATCTTTTATTTGAACATATAGTTGTAAATTTGTATAACATATATTTGAAATGTAACACTCTGTGCAAACTTAAAAGAGTTTTTAGGAAATGTTTCATTTTATCCAAAGTTTCATTGAACTCCGCTTTCTCCTATTATTGCAATTATATGTTTTTTTAAATTCTATTTTAATTTTTTATTTAAATTCATTTAATAAAAAATTGTAATATGCTATTGTTTAGTTGAAAAAGTATCATAAATAGGATGTGAAAATTTTTGAAATTGAAAATTGTACTTACCTGGCCAATGAAGAGGATACGATTGTGTTTGACATCATTTGATTATTTTTAAGGATTTGAAATTACGAAGCGAACCGGTTGACTTGAGGTTTTTACCAAAGGTCAGGGTCTTGACCATGACTTCACTTTCTGCTGTGATCATAGTTATTATTGTGAGTGAAAGTAAAAGAACATATCGCACTTTAAATGTCAATTTTCTTGTTCTGTCGAACACTTTCTACCAGGAAATTCCGTTCTTTGTATAATGGCTTCTGGTTAATTCCACTTTTGTCTCATGGAATTTTTTTTTTTTACTAATCACTCTTTTTCCTGTGGGGACTATAGTTTAGATTTCTTTAAAAGATGTCGGTTTATATTTTTGCTGCTAAATATTATTGTGAATTTCCTATACCTTAAAAGCCTATATTTATTTCAGCGAACAATATTGTTCCACATTATAATATCAGCATGTTGTCTTCATGATAGTTTTCGAAATATGTGACTTGACACTTATTTTATTTTTTATATTTTAGTACCATCAACGCTAAAATAGAATTCCTAAAACTATATAACTTATAAGTTTTAGGAATAACTTATAAAAAATTGATTTTTGAAATTTTTGTTTTCCATAGGTAGCTTATCATACGATACAAAAAATATCATTTTTGAGCTTTTTGTAGCAAATGTTGATTTTTCTCTTGAACTGTAGTATAATTGCTTGCTGTGGTGGCTGAGAGCAGACGTACGACTGGAATGGTAACGAAGCTTTGGTGGCTGAGAATAGACATACGACTGGAATGGTAAATAAACTTTAGTTGCTAAAAGTAGACTTATATCTGAAATGGTGAAGAAGCTTTGGTAACTGAAAGTAGACATATGACTGGAATGGTAAAGAAGCTTTGGTGGCTGAGAATAGACATACGACTGGAATGGTAAATAAACTTTAGTTGCTAAAAGTAGACTTATATCTGAAATGGTAAAGAAGCTTTGGTAACTGAGAGTAGACATATGACTGGAATGGTAAAGAAGCTTTAGTGGCTGAAAGTAGACTTATATCTGGAATGGCAAGGAAGCTTTGATTGTTGAGTATATATATACGACTCTACCACAAAGGGTTAAAAGATATATCACCCATCCAATAGGCTGATGAACTGTCCTTGTCATTGTAGAATTCAAATTAATAATTATTTCTAATTGTACAGTGAGAAAAGAAATAATCTTAAATACCTTTTGTCCTAAGGATTGGATTTTCACAAACCAAGTGTCAATCATAACGATTCAAGCGGTGACCTCGAGTATACTAATTATTCAGCACAACATATTATATAATATGTTGTAATAGAAATAGACGCCAAATCATACTTTCCATCAATAAAAATATCTTTTTGGTGACGGATTCGGATTTTTTATCGGAAAAATATCATTCCAATAGTTTCTGCAAGAGAGATGTCGGAAGTTTGGACCCTTTAATGTTAAATTCATTTTCAGCGTAATTAGCCATATCTTGGAAAGATTTAGAACGGATAGAAAAAATTTTAACTCGCAATTATAAAATTCGTTTTCTCAAAGATAATTCTTAGTAAAAAATAGTTTTTAATGCTTTTTTTTGTTATTTTATCTACTAATGATCGAAAAAATATTGAATTTTAAAGTATACAAATTTTACACCATTATAAATTATGTAATTTTAAATGATAAAATACAAAATTCAAACAGAATAGTTCGAATATTTCTCAAGAAATGATTAAAAACACAGCTTTTTTGGAAATTAATAACTCAGAAATTGTTCAACAAATATCGCTAAATTTTTGTACTTCGTCATTTAAAATCGTATAGTTTAAAACGGTGTAGAAATTTGTAAACCTTACAATTCAAAATTTTTTTTGCTTTTATGATAATGATAACAAGAATATAATGAATAACAATAACAAGAATATAATGAATAACAATAATAATTAAGTAATGAATAACAAGTAATTATTAAAAATTGTTTTTACATCAAATTATTTTTTGATATATGGGTTTAAGGCGATTTGTTTAAAAAGTTTCTTAGATATGGCGAAATCCGCAAACTGTTGATAACTATTTTTCTGAATAAAATATTAGGACCTATAGATTACAGCCCTTCTTCTATACTTTGTTCGTCAGAAATCATAATCCACCGAACGAAAGCTACGAAGGGTATTCAGAGAAACTACGTTTTTGTGATTGATTCTGTAGCATAATTAATAGTTTGCACTAATTAATCATCAAATTTAAGGTCACCCTTTTGAACCATTAAAATTACCACTTAGGGACAAGAATTACAGGGAAAGAGTTATAAGAATTACTTAGGGACTCATTAAAACAAAAGTTATTTAAATTGATATCTTTTTTATTTTGTGCACTGTACTTTTCGCGTAGTTTCTTTTATCATTCGATAAATATATTTTTTTTCTGTTTCCTAGTAAAAATGAATTCTAATTGCCGATGTTAACCCTGACATATTTTTTTACAAATATCTAGTCAAAAATCAGAAGAACATGAAAGGTCATAGCTACAACAGAAGTAAAATTTCTTTAAAGACTAATATTAATTATAAGGGTTGATGACTTGAACTTTTAAAGGTTTGGTGAAGTATAAAAGACAAGCCTTGGAAAAGATGACTCGTGCTTTAGTAGTCACGTCTTTTTTTTATCATTTTTATTTTATTTCATTTTATTATCAATTAGAGAGGAAATTGAATTTCCTCTCTAAAATTACTAACATTGTAATTTTATTGAGTTTCATATTTTTGTTATTAATTATTATTGTATTTAAATTTAATATGTTGTAGCTCAAAACATTCTGAACAAAAGTTCTTACTGACACTAAGTCTAAAAATGAATAATTTTCGAGATACGGAGCCTCAAACGTAAGAGATATAGACTACGGTCACTGTGATAAAGTGTGCTTAAAGGGACACGCAGCATTGGACAATGAGCCCTTCAGCACACTTTGCGAGTCTTAAGTGATTTTTAGACTCTGCGCGATATACAGATAACATCAAGTATCAATCTACGAATCTATCAATCTAAGTATATTTTATCCAAGTATCAAGTATCAATCCAAGTATCCTTTCGTTAATTATTATTGTATTTAAATTTATTATGTTGTATCTCAAAACATTCCGAGCAAAAGCTCTTATTGACACTAAGTCCAAAAATGAATAATTTTTGAGATACGGAGCCTCAAATATAAGAGATATAGACTATGGTCACTGTGGTAAAGTGTGCTTAAAGGGACACGCAGCATTGGACACTGAGCCCTTCAGAATTAGAGAATTGAAAGTAGCTATTTATGTTTGAGACTTCGTATCTTAAATACTAAAATTTTTTGACTTTGTGTCAATGAGAACTTTTGATCGGAATGTTATGAACTACGACATATTAAATTTTCAGCCAATTTGGCAGAGAGTTAATTTCAATAAGAGTTGCGCAGGTCTTCTTGTACTCATCACCATGCTTACTATTTAGAATTAAATATATCTGATTGCGAAATCTTAAATTTGTTTGAAAATTATGCTTTTTTCTTTCATTACTTCAATGTTGCAAAAAGGTATTAGTTTTTAATGCTTTAGGGTGCTTCGTCGTCGATTCGATGAATTATTAGATGCATCGAACAGATGCTCTCCAGTATAAACATCGGACTAATTCTCTATCGCAATGCTAAACTTGTATTTAGTTATAATTATTACTCAATAATTATTTTCCGTCGATAATTATTTAATTAATCGTTATTGCAGAGCTAAATCTCCATTTAGTAATAATTATTACCCACTAATTATAACTAAAATTAGTTAACCAGTTAAGCGCATTTGGCGTGTATACACGTCGGACTAAATTTCTATTGGAATGCTAAACCTCTTTTTAGTTATAATAATTACTCAATAATTAAAATTAAACTTAATTAACTGTTTAACCAGTTAAGCTTATTTGGGGTGCATACACGTTCGGACTAAATCTCTTTTGAAGCTTTAATTTTGTATTCAGTTCCAATTATTACTCAATATTTATTTCCAGTCAATAATTATTTAATTAATCTCTACTGCAGAGTTAATCTCTATTTAGTAATAATTATTACTTTTAATTATAACTAAAATTAAGAGCGTAGGACTTGTATATTCGTCGCTTAAAATAAAAGAAAAATTGCCAGAATCAGTCCAAAATTTCTATATACAAAAAGAATATTATTTGTTGGTATATTTCCTTTTTATTACCAAAATAACTGCTAATTGTTTTATACTGTGGGGAGGAGAGGGTTCGTGATCTGAAATCAATTAATGCGTGAGCCGTGAATTGGATGGCGAGCATTGATTTGTGTAAACAATTAGTAAGGCCAATACTTGCACTTTGCTCTACGAGGGAGTCCCAGACGTTTTCGAATTGAATACAAGAATCTGAAGCATTCGATTCAAAAGTTTCTTTCTTTCTCGCTTTTAAAACATCAAAAGCACGGATGAAAGTTGGACAAAAAAAAAAAAAAAAACTGGTTGAAAAATCATATCATTTAAAGTTATTTTCGTAAGGAGTAAAGGAAACTCTTACTATTTTATATTGTTAACACGTTGAATGCCATGGGGGGTCACCGGTGACCAGTGATGCCAAGATTATTAGAAACACATAATTCGAGTAAATTTTTAACGATTTTAAATTTTTTTGTTGTTGATATTATTATCGTTACTAAAATGGTTTGAAGAAATTAATGCAATATATAACACACAAAAATAGTTTTATTTATATACACAGAGATGCCAACTTGCTCCGGACAGCGAATAAATGTTTTCAAGTGGCAATTTATTAAATGTGATTCTTGGTTTAATAAATTCAATTTAGTGGATTTTTATCCACCATTATTTCTAAGCAATTTGTAAGTTTATATAATTCACCACTTTTTTCAGACATGTCATGCTAAACTTTTTAAAAAAACTGGCAAAATCTGTCTAATATTTGCAAATTTAGTTTGTAGTTATGCCGACCAGGTGGCCGAGTGGTTAGCGTGCCTGACTGGATGTCGCTCAGGGCATCCCGCTCAGGACATGGATGTTTCCTTCTCGCTCTGTGTTCTATGCCCTTTCCTCTATGTGATTGTGCGAATGTAATCCGCCCTATAAACGGGTTTGTGATTATATATATATGTATATATATGTATATATATATATATATTTTTGTTTTATCTTCATTTTGAACTTATCTAATGAGTTCTGTTTTCTTGCAGCTTATGCGCAATAAATGAAACTTATTGTTTTTCTTAACTTTCTTCGTGTTTACATATATATATATATATATATATATATATATATATATATATAATTAGTCTAATGATTGTTAATTTAACTTATCTAACATCATGACTGTCACTTCATCTTACAGTCATAATATCTTTTTCTTTATTTAAAACAAATTGGGTGCCTGGGCCGCTCAGCGTCCCCTAACCCATACATCATGAAAATAGTATACAGTGAATGAAAACATTTTGTATTATGCATCATTATGGTGGCAAACAGTCATAATATAACAATATGTATAATTTATAACTGTTTAAAAAATCTTGCCTGTAAGTTTTTCGCAAATTTTTGCGCTGGGTTTGACGTGTATACAATTCATTGCTTGATTTTAATTTCGCACCATGTGGAGGATTTCTGAAATTTAATTCCGAGCTTATCTAGTTAACACGTTCATGCCGGGGTGACCCACCGGTGGGTCACGCTGGATTGTCTCATCGGGCGGCGCACCGCAGCAAAAACTGGTAACAAGTAAATTTCATTTTTTAGTTTTTTTCCGGGAATAATAAAAATCCACAACTACCAATTGTTTTTAACGGATGCAATTTTTATATTGAATTGCTTCTTCACCGTGATAAATTTCCTTACAGTGAATTGTTATTGTTGAGATTAAATTAACTCCTCCCGAATATTATCTAATATTGAAATAGTTCTAATACCAGTATTTTCTCTTTTCCGTCCCGCTTTCAGGCGCAACACCCGGCGTAAACGTGTTAAATATATCCTTTTTCAATTGTCGTATATTAAGATTTATAAATCTTCAAAAATTTATGCGCATTAAAATTATCAATTTCAAAACCTCAACCACTTTTCTGGCTCCATCACTGCTTCAAACTACCACACCACGGGGAGAACTTTCAGTCACGACAGATTTAGGCAAGGTTATAAAATAAAAAATGAGATTCACACATGCACGTGTAATTTTTTTTCAAGTAGTTTCTAAACATTCACTGATATTTGTTAAGCAATGGCGTGCAGATGGACGAGGAAAACCTTTAAAAGTGTAATTACAGGAAGGAGAAATCTATTTAATTAAAACGCTATTAACCCTCTTGTGCTTAGCGCCCTTTTAAAAGCACGGTTTTTTTCTGAAAAAAATTAAAACTGGTAAACTAGGGTTATTTCAGTGGGATTAGTATTGTATTGCAGAAATTTATTGTTTTATTTTAATTTATTTTTAGTAGAAATTTATTAGAAATTTATTGTATTGTAGAAATTTGTAGACAATTCTGTCTATCATAATATTTTAACATAATATAAGTATTTATATTTAAATCTTAAATCGAAACAGAGTGCTTTTGTAAAGCTGAAAATGTAGGTAACAGAATGAAATGTTCACTTGATGTAACCAAATTTGAACTAAGAGTTTTTGCTTTCCATATACAGTAGTACCTCCTGTAGAGGATAACTTTCATTAACTCAGGAGAATATCACTGACAACATTCTACATTTTCGGGGAAAATTCCTTCCTGCGGAAGCTAAGTTAATGTTTAACTGTTTTATAAATTTTATTTATTCTTTGTTTTATAAATTTTATTTATAGTTATTTTCCACACTACTACTTAAAAATAATTCGAAAGTGCATATGAAACGCCACTTTGTTCCAGCTCTCCTATAGTTAAGCTTTTAAATGTTGGATAAATTACCAAAAATTCTGAAAACTTTAGCTTTTAATTGTCTACAACTTTATAAAATATTTTGCAAAAGGCGTTAATAGTTGGCAACTTTGCATTCTTAGATATTTACCTGATTGCTTTCCTCGATTAACAATACAATTTTAGGTGTTAACTTGTCCCTGGTTCTAGTCTCACAACTCATCCTATACTGATCTGAAGCTTGGCTATCAAGGATAACTATTATGGCTATCTTGGCTATCAAGGTTAACTATTATGGCTATCTTGGCTATCAAGGATTTGTTTGCTAAGGTCGGTCGAAGAATCTATACTTACCATATATTACAACGTATCCTAGTGATTGTGTCCAAGACCATTCTGATGATATTTAACAAATATTCACATAATTAAGTACTTTAACCCTTTCATGGGCCATTTATTTCTAGTTTTAAGAATAGTAATTGATATAAGAAAGAAAAAACCCATTTAGTTTATAAAAAGGCAATTTTTTTGGTGGTAAATATATTTAACACGACCATATATTGCTTATTAACTTTTATTTTTCTTTATTTATAAAATAAATTTTTAAATGCTACAAACTTCAAAAAGAATTATGTATTTTATAACTTTTATACGTTTTTTTAAACTAACAAATGGTTGCCAATTTTATTCAAACGCACTTCAAGAAAGCTGAATTTATTAACAAATGGAAACCTAAATTAAATGTGGTAAAAAAATGGTGGGAAGTATACTTCCCACGGCCTTCGAAAGGGTTAATTGTAAGTTTCGTCTTCCAACCTTACCCATTAATCGATAAATACGGTGCTGGGTTAAGTGTTGCATAAGTGCGGGGTTAAGTGTTGTGTGTACCGCATATTACAATTGCCCACGGACTCAACAGAGATGGAAAAGCAAAAACCAGGATTTATATCTATGAAGTCAAATCAAATTCAAATCAACTCTAAATCTAAATAAGGCATAACCTCTATTTAAGGGACAAATTGTCTGGTCTAGAGGGTGTTGCTTATTATAAGGTATTATTGCTTAATCGATGTAAATAACTAATAAACACATAGGTTAAATGAAACTTTTATTAAAATGAAACAAACAAATAAATTAGTCACATGTTGTTGATTATTTAACAATGAAAAAAATTAAAAACATAATGGTAAATGCACTGCATCTGGATTTTTTATCTTAAAAATCTCTTCTTTTCTGACATAGCTTCTGATTTAACATCTTTCTCATCCGTGATTATTATTAATTAGCTGAAAACAAACATAAAATACAATTATTCTTTCATGAGATAAGTAAATCTGCCAAACACATTAAAAAAAAGTGTCCTTCGGGATTAGCGTTAACTAATGGGAAAAATTATAAAACACAATAATTGTTTAGCAAAGTAAATAAATTAACCATTCGCTGTTTAATAAAATTTATATCTTTCTTTCAGAAGTAAATAGTGCTGTTAAAATGTGCTGCATATGTTTTGAACCATATTAGCATAACAGTTTTGTCTTCTAACCCAATTTTCTGGTATATTTCAAATGAAAAGAAATTTCATAAATTAAAAGTAACTTTTTTAAAAATTTCTCCTGCATTTAAGAGTATGTTCTAAGCATCTATAACTATTAATTTCTGGCAAAAAAATTGCTTTGATATACCTTCAATCGAAAGATTCAACGATTGGAGTGACCAGCGATGTTCCCTGAGCTCAATCCCATTGAACGCGTATGTGATGCTCTTGGATGCTCAATTACAGCTCGAAGACCAGCTCAAACAATTATCGATGAGCTTAAGGATTCTTTGGGGCAAGAAAGGGTGCGGTTGCCACAGGAATTGAAGAGGACAGTATGAAAAACCAATGCGAGAGTTGTGTACTTGTTAGAGTCGATCATACACCCTATTATTTTATTTTATTTTATAACCGTCGTTGAACAGTCGACCCAATTTTGGGTTTACAACTACTAATGTTCAACTCCGCAGCCTAGTAACATTGAACCCAATCCAGAGTACAAGGGAACTCCTGGATCAAGTATTGAGAGAAACTAGCCTTTGTGGAGTAATTTTTGATGCAACCAACTCGCGTTTACGTTATATGAGAAGAAAAACTATAATGATGAAAAACTATAATGATATAGTTTATATAACTATATAAACTATAATGACTATAATGATGAATAATGATATATATAACCATAAGATAGCCTTATGGCAAGGGAATTCTAACCCATGATCTGTCTACCACTGATGATATGGTACATCAGCACTGTGGTCGGTGTTCATGGAGAACTTTTTGATAGAACAAACCCGCATTTGCGTTACATGGAGAGGAAAGCCACGAAAATCTCTACTCTAACCCATGGGATTCTAATTCATGATTCGTTTGCCACTGAGGATATTTTACGTCACCACTGAGGTCAGTGCGAGCCGGGTGCGGATTTCATATCAACCAGCTATCGCTGGTATTACCTGATTGGAAGGCGAAAGCTGTATCCGCTCAGCCACCATGACTCCAGGCACCCTATTAGACATGTTTTTCGCTGACTGTTAGCTGCTGCGCTGGACAAGTGACCAGTGTAGGTATAGGCTGCGCCCATTTTGTTCTCCCAAATATTGGTCTTATGTTAGATATGTCGGATGATATTTTGGACTTGCTTAGTTTTATTTGCATTGTTATTTTTTATTAAAAATAAATAATTAAACGAATAAATAAATAAACCCTTTGTCCCTTCCATTGTTTTCACTAGTGTATATTGGTGATAAAAATCATTTTAAATTAAACATATTAATTCAAAATATGCAAAGAAAGCATAAATTTTGCTTCCATTTTAACACGTTCGCTGCCAGCTGAATACAAGTTTTATGCTGTATCTATCACTGAAGAGTGGTAATCGATGAAGTTCTAATCTTATAAAAGATAAAAAATCAATTCTTATTTAAGCAACTATTTTAGTTTTTAAACTTCATAATAAGTTTATTTCAATAAATAATGTGCTTCTGTCGGGATCTTTGCGAAATAAGTTAGATGATAATATGAATCCCTTTGTTAGATGATAATATGAATCCCCTCCCTTCAAAAGGGATTCATATTATAATCTAACTTATTTCGCATTTGATCTGTCTTATTGACACAAGCTCGTAGGAAGAATTTCATCTCGCTCTGGCTAGGGATCGATAGCAAAAGTGTTAAATATTAAAAACAAAAAAACAAAAAAAAAATCGTGAGGAAAATTCGTAAAAGTTAACTGCCTTGTATAGCTCTTTCACCAGGAGTTGGCACTTGGCTCTATCTCCTTGGACGAAGAGTTCATTTCCGCGAGGGAGTAAGAGGAAAAACATCTCCAAGCCTGAAATTGAGACAACCTGTAATGCGCACCAAACGCAAACAGTGATTTCTTTTTCGAGGGGGTAAGAGGAAAAACATCTCCAAGCCTGAAATTGAGAATACCTGTAATGCGCACCAAACGCAACAGTGATTTCTTTTTCAGTCACTTACTACGCTTTATCATCTGCTATTATACCTTTCGTTACTCTAGCTAATTATATATATTGCAGCAAAATGTGCAAAAAAGGACACTATTCACTCAAAAGGAAGAAATAACATCAAATTTATGAAATATTTAATGTTTAAAAAATGAACATTAATGTTGTGAAATAAATATTTTAGTCATACTATCGCCAAATAGCAACCTTGTTCAGGTTGTTGACATCCTTCTCCCAAAAATAGCCAAATAGTATCGTCGGATATCACGTGATGTAGGCGGAACCAAGTGCTAACTCCAGGTGAACGAACTATAATAGGATTTGACCTTAGTGTTTTTTTCGACTAAATAATCGCTCATCTTATATTAATTCACACTTACTTGCTTAAAATACTTACAGTAGACAGTAAAAACAGTTTAACAGTAAAAAGTGCATATTGACCGGCAGAAGTCACCCTGACATAGTTTGTTGCAAATATCTGAGCAGAGTCCAGGCTTAGCTTCAGAAGTATGGAAAGTCACACATAATAAAATGAGTATTAGAAGAAAAATGAATTCAATGACTGAAATAGAATAAGAACAATTTTGAAATAATATTTCTGTTATTATAAAGAGCTATTGCATGCTAGTATATTTTATGGTGTTAACATTAGGTTTAGTTTTGGTAAGTATAAAGAGACTCTTATAAAAAGATGAGTGTCAAAAGAAAAACTAATTCAATGTCTGAAATAGAATAAAAACAACTCTTATAAAATACATAAATTATTATAAACAATGATTGTATTGCGGTTAATTTTGTTATATTAACAACAGGTTTAGCTTCAGAAGTATAAAAAGTCACATATATTGAAATGAGCAGTAGAAGAAACATTAAATAAATGACTGAAAGAGACTGGAAACAATTCTTATACAATATTTAAAATATTATAAGAAATTATTGTTTAATAGTTTTTTAATGTTTGCAATACAGTTTTTAATTTTCCAATTTAAAAAAATGTTGGAACGTTGGACAAAACATGTGGAAAATGTAATATAGATTAAGAAAAAAAGAAGAAAAATTCTAAAATAAAATATTTAGAAATATTTTATTTTATATATATATATATATATATANTATATATATATATAATTATAGGAACGTAGGAAAGTCAAATCAACACATCGAAAAATTTTATTTCCTGTCAGAATGAAATCCGAATTTTATATTCCTCTTCAGACTTAATATTAGCGTTTTATTGAACTTAATATTATCAGACTTAATATTAGCGTTTTATTGAACTTAATATTATCAGACTTAATATTCAGACTATTCAGACTTAATATTAGCGCTTTATTTATTTGAAAATAATTAATTAAAAATTTTATTCTCTTTTTTTTTCCAAATACAAAAAAGATAGATTGTGATGAAGAGATTTACCTAAATCGGGATTCATTATTCAAATCATGATCATTTTAAACCATTACGATCAATCCTGACCGACAGATACTGCCCATTAGTGTAAATGGATCATTTTCAAAATAAAAAGGCATTTTAAATTTTTTTTTTCTCAAAATATTATGTAATCAAAAAATTGAAACGCTAAGGTGTTGTCATACCTATAAAAATTTCAACTGCAATTGGAATGTAAAAATTAAAACAACAGGACACTTTTTGATTTAGAACAGAAAAAAATGGAATATTAACTTAATTTCCCCTCTGTTATCAATGTGTGAGTGTGTGCTCAAAAGTGTTTAAATAAAGAAAATAAGTTACCTGAAACAGTAAGTAATTAACACTATAGTCAAATTTAAACTGTAAATTATCAAAATTAAATTATATTAACTGTCTGTTAAATTATGTAGAGAAATATAGTTTAATAAATGGAGGTAAAGGAGTGGAAAGGGCATGACGTAATACTATTTGGCATGGTGTACTATAAAAGGGGGGGGGGACTGACACTGTAAACCTAAATTTTAAATGTTCGTGCATTACAAATTAATGAATTTTAGTCATAAAAATATTAATATCTACCTATATTTCCATTAATACACTTAGTATGTTAAGAAATACTAAATAACACACCAATAAGTAAAAAAAACAATAAATAAAAAAATCAATAAACAAAGTTAGCATTATCGTAGTAACAAAGGACGGAAAAAGAAACTGCTAATCAATTTACTTGAAGAAGTTCAATTGAAAAGAAGAAATGTTTAGATAAAACTAAAAAGAATAATCTGATCTAATCATAAAAAATAAAAAAATAAACTGAACATTGGAACGATAAATTTGAATCAATTATGTTAGAAACAAAGGGAAACACCCTTATCTTGTCAAAGCTTTATTTTCTTAGAATACGATAATATAATGAAAACTTTTGAAATTTATACATTATCTAATAATAGACTACTCAGGGTACTAAGGAACCCATTTTTGCTTACTCAACTGAAATAATACAATAATTATGGTAACAAAGTGAAAAAAAATCCTGGGACAACACTAAAATCTTTTAAAATATTACTCAAAAGCAATTTTAAAACAGTATATTAGATAAGCTCTGCTGTATATTACATACTTATAACACAATTTTCACAACTAGATAAATCAAAATTATTTTTTATTTTAAAGTTGGTTGATTTGCTGTAAAATAAGAGGCAAATAAGGCTGTTACATAACAATTGAGCTGTATCTGACGTGTTAAAGTATAACTCTTACATTATTTTTAAAGTACTAATTTCTATGTATTTACTATTACATTTACTAAAAATATATAGTAAATTAATTTAAATGTTTAAAAACATTATTTGGAGTTTTATTTGATTAATTTAAATTACGTAAAATCATGGAGCATCGAAAGTGCAATTTTTTTAAATGGCCCAATTATCTACCATCAGTCTATTTGTGAGTTATTAGGGCTTGTTTAGGACATTTTTCGGCTATCTCCTCCCCTATGATATTTGATTTTGTCTCGACAGGGGGTGTTTTGTATTGTACTGTAGAATAAAGCTACGAGCGCTTTGCGTAAGCTTATAGCTCTGTATTCCCATAACCGAGGCTTATAGTTGATCTAGGTTTAGGGAGGTGTTGTTATTTACGCACAACATACATGGAGGCTATCCAAATAGAGTCTCGGTGCTGCCATCTAGTGTGGCAGAAATTAGACGTCCAAATTAACATGGCCAACGGTATCTCACCCATTGTGGTGGTCCTGAAATAGTGGATATCACTTCTGGAGAGCGCACTAGGTCTGCTCATCGGGAAGACTGATTGTGCAACTCATTGGAAATAAAAATTAAAAAAAAACATGGAGGCTTGTATGCTCAATTTCATAACTACTGCTTATAAGTCTTTGATATGTAGAAAGACAGATTACACAATTAAGAGAAGGACATCACGAAGATACATCCGGGGTTACTGTGGGATACGAATCGGCTACCTTTATGTAACAGAGCGTTTGATGGGTGATACAGCTTGGTCAGAAGGGCCCCTAGGGGGTGATAGGCCACTAAACAATTGTGCCATCTTGACTTTCAAATATAAAAAGCCAATTAGAACTGATTAGAAAATTTATGAGATAATTAAGCCAGAATTTCACATTTTCCCTTAGACTTGACATTGACAGTAACATTTAAGTTCTGCATGAACGTTTTCTTTATTCTTCTATTGACCAATTCTACAATTATGGAAATAAGTTTTAGTTGAGTTTGTCATCTTAAATTGAATTAGATGTATGTTTCTTTACAAAAAGCATTTTATCTGAAACAAAAATATCGACATGACGGTAAATGATATCGGTGATGTGACGTTAAATTTTAAGTTCGGTATGGTTATAGCTTTTTATAATATTTCAATAATGATGACCGATTCAGAAGTTATGTAAATTAGTTTTATGAATTAGTCATCTTAAATTGAACCAGATGTAAGTTCTTCAATTAATAAATTAATAAATAAATATAATAAACTTATTTAAGAATTATAATTTATAAAAATTATAGTAATAAAAATTTACCATTGTGGGAAGTATGTGGCTTAGCACCAGATGGACTTGTTTTCATTTTGTCGAAAGTGTATCTGAAACAAAATGTATAGATTTGAGAAAACAAAGAAATTATATATATATATATATATTTTTAAAACTCTTATCTAGCATGTAAAACCCGTTATTAGAAATGACACATTTCTCGTTTTTTTCTCATATGGATTAACACGTTCACGCCGGGAAAAGTGAAAATACTGGTACGGAAAAAGAAAAAATACTAGTCGAAGAACTATTTCAATATTAGATAATATTCGGGAGGAGTTAATCTATTCTCAACAATAACAATTTACTGTAAGGAAATTTATCACGGCGAAGAAGCAGTTCAATATAAAAATTACATCCGTTAAAATCAATTGGTTGTTATGGATTTTTATTATTCCCGGAAAAAAACTAAAAAATGAAATTTATTGTTACCAGTTTTTACTCCGGTGCGCTGCCAAGAAGAGACAATCTAGCATGACCCACCGGTGGGTCACCCCGGCGTGAACGTGTTAAAAAATGGTACAGTTGTAGTATTACAAGTTTGACAAATTTATTTTGATTTCACCTTATTAAATGTTAGTTTAAAGTGTAATATATAAAATTGTTTTTGAAGTAGTGGTGAATTAAATAAATCAACCTTTTGAAACCCAGCTTACAAAGAATTAGTTTGGTTACCAGTTTCATCTTTTTACCCGGAGTGATACTAATGCCTCGCCTAATTTTATTTACCTCTACCCAATTTGAATACAAGCCAATACCATGCAAGCAAGGGCATCACCTCCTACATCAAGAAGCCTCCACACGGTCTTTCATAAGTAGTCTGCGCAGACTGCTTAAAAAGCGACCAGTTGTGCGTATGTACCCAAAACCTTTTATAAAAGTAATTGAGAGAAATTTATCTTATGTATTTGAGAATTGAATCTGTAGTGGTTGACAAGTGAATAAGGCAAGCCAATAACATTCATAAATAAAATAAATTTTTAGTCATATATTTGCTACCACTTTCTAATTTTTCAACTATATTCTGTATTAAATGACTCGTTCGGTAAGTGGATATCCTTCACAGTGGTCTGATCGGACTACCTATAAAAAACCGTGTGGAGGCTTTCAGTTATAGGAGGCGTTGGCAAGGGATATATTAAAATTAAAACAACTGTTACTTTAAACACATCCATATTCATGCAACTACCTCATATTATTTTTCCCTGATGAGTAAATACCTCTGAAAATGTTACTTACCTGCTTTATCCACTAATTCTTCACATGTCAATTGAAAATGAACTCTGTAGCTATTATAGTTTGTTTTCGGGAAATTAAAATGTGCATGTCTACGAAGAGTTTTATAAAATTTTCGAAAATATAGGGTTATTTTTTATTCTGTGTAGAAGTAAATACTGACGGACTCTTTATAGCTAAGAATAATAAGAGCTTATTTTACTCTTCACGAAATAAAGCTGAAAATGAGATAATTTTACTTTGAACGTTTTTTCTTCCATCTCTTCTATTTGGTTTTTGAAATGGTTCTGTTAAAGAGAATTTTTTGTCTTATTTTTTGCCCAGGCACCCAATTGGAAAAAAATGTGTTTAAATAAGATAGCCACATTCCCGAAAAAAATTAATAACTGATTAAAAAACATCCAAGGTTGCAAGCCACTACACTTTTTGCAAAATATTTTACACAGTTGCTGACAATTTTTATAAATATTATGCGATTATTGATTTACACTATATTTTCCGCCATCTTTGATTTCTGATGGAGTTGACCATACTATAGTTGTAATTTCTAAAGAAGGGGAAAAACGTTAAATTATGGATTTTCATGGAAGTTGGTTTTCAGATTTATTGCAACGGAATCTATTGTTTTAGAACACAAGCATTCAAGGACTTGTTCCCAAAGTTTTTATTTAAATGAAACTTCTTTGGCAACCATAAAAGTATCATTTTGAATGAAAACGTGGACAATTTGAATGACAAAGATAAAATATACTGAATCGTTTATTTAGAAAAAAAATTATTGGGTCGTCTTATGAATTTTACTTATATTTTGTTTCAGAGACAAGCGGTGTAAGTAAAAATTGTTCTTTTATTTGTTTGTTCCTTTGTGGGAGTTTGAGTCGTCAGACAATAAAAAATTAAATCTTAATTTAATTGACTATATAGGGTTGCGGTGGCTCAGGGGATAGAGTGTTCGCCTTTCAACGAGGTGAACCGGTTTCGAATCCCAGTGATGGCTGGTCGATACGAATTCCGAAACCGGTAGGCACCGATCACAGTGCTGAAATAAAATATCCTCAAATCATGGTAGATCATGGGTTAGAGTCCCCTAGTCATCAGGATAACCGTGGGTGGTTTTCGTTGTTTTCCTCTCTGTGTAACACAAATGCGGGTTAGTTCCATCAAAAAATCCTCCACGTTGGCAAATTTCTTCCAATAATTGAGCCAAGAGTTTCCTTGTCTTCTGGATTGGGTTCAAAGTTTCAAGTCTACGAAAGTGAACATTAGTAGTCGTATACCCAAAATTGGGTCGACTGTTCAACGACGGTTTCAGAAATTAATTTTTAAAAAAATAGAATTTTCAAAAATAAAGAAAATATTTTTACGAGTGTCGCCAAAGGAAATGCAATTACATTTTGAAAATCAAAGCTAATTGAGGAAAGTCAACCCAGGTGGGCAATGGAAAAAAAAAGAAAGATTGCAATCCTATTTTTTTCTCATTCTTCAAATTAAGCCCGTTTTATTCCGACTTTTTATATTGAAGAGATACAAAAAGTGGCTTCATGAAAAAAGTGGTCTACTATAAGATTTTAAAAAAGGCGACTATTTCCTCTGTTAGGCATCATTTAATTTTAAAAAGTCCCCAATCAAAATCCCCAATCAAAAATATCACAATCCTGCAGAATGAAGCTACGGTGGCACAGGGGATAGAGCGTGCTCCTTCCAATGAGATGAACCGGGTTCGAAACCCCGAGATGGCTTATCGATGCGAATTCCGCACCCGGTTTGAACCAATCACAGTGCTGACATAGAATATACTCTCTGTGTAACACAAATGCTGCTTCAAAAGTCCTCTAAGAAGGCAAATGTCTCCTTATGCTTGATCCAGGAGTTCCCTTGTCTTCTGGGTTGGGTTCGAAATTACAAGGCTACGGAGTTGAACGTTAATGGTCGTACACTTAAAATTAAACTGTTCATCAACATTTAGAAAATAAAATAAAATATTTTATTGAGTGGTAGACAATTATAAACCTAAGATTTCAGAACTTTTGATAATTTTGCCAAAATTTTAAAAACATCACTAAAGATATAACAAGGTTGCGTTTGATAAGAACTTTTGAGTTTTTAATACATAGTGGTGTGGATAAATCAAATTTACAGAAGAAAGAATCTTACACTGAAATATAAACTTAGCAATCGCTGCGAGAAATTTTCTCAAGAAGCGTAGAAGATGACAATCCTGCCTGTAAATGTAGTTGGAATGAAGTGGCATTTCATATGAAGTTTTGAATCATTAATGCGCAAGGATAAGAAAATAACTTTAAATCTAATTCACTAAATCGAAAGTCATACATTCAAGCATAAAGTTTGCTACACTAGAAAAATATTACCCATAAAGCAGAGCAAGTTGGCATCCCTGTGATAATATACCCAGAGGTTCCCGTTGAAAAATACACAACAAGTCCCTGCTATAATATATGTATGTTATAATATACCCAATAATTGGCATCCCTGTTATAATACACCCAACTTTCTACGCTTTGTAAGAAATTTTCTTCTAGTGGTAGTAAATTTTTTGCTTTAAGCCTTCAATGGGCCATTTATTTCTAGTAAAGGTAAATTAAAGCATTTTTGAAATTGAAATTGTTTTAAGAATTGTAATTGATATAAGAAAAAAAAACTCATTTAGTTTATAAAAATGCCATTTTTTTTTGGTGGTAAATATATTTAACACGACCTATTAGGAACTTATTGACTTTAATTTTTCTTTATTTATAAAATAAATTTTATAAATGCTACAAACTTCAAAAGGAATTATATATCTTGTAACTTTAATACGTTTTTTTAAACTAACAAATGGTTACTAATTTTATTCAAACGCTAGTTATGAATAAATGGAAACCGAAATTAAAAGTGGTAAGAAAGTGGTGGGAAGTATACTTCCCACAGCCTTCGAAAGGGTTAATGTGGGTTTCTTGCCAAGTAAATACGATTAAAAATTAATTACAGCATCACTACATGTGAATGATTCAAAAGTTTACATAAAAAGCCACTTTGCTCTAGCTTTCTCGTGGTAAAGCTTTTAAAATGTTGGCAAAATTAATCAAAATACTGAGATATTTCACTGTCTGCCACTCTATAAAATACTTTTCAGGCAGTGCAGTAATTTCCAGCCCAGTATACTTATTTCTATATCAGGACACTTAAGAGAATTTCAGAACAGGGGCTAATATTAAACTATTTCAAATGAAAAACAATTTATGTCCGTGAAAGCTGGGTCAAAATGAAAACGAATTTGCGCGTGGGAAGAAACCGTTTTTTTACGGCACGGCCCATTTTCACTGTGTAATAACAACAGGGACGAACCTATTTTTCGTGTTATAGATTTACCAAACTTAATAGTCCTCAAAATACTAAAGATGGTGACCCCATCGTCATTTTTGGAAAAAATTGTCATAAACCGTTCTTTCTCCTTGATCTTCAAATGTAAATATCAACACCATTTTTACGGCCTAATATCGATTTTTATCGCATTACACAATGCCGAACGGAAAAAAATGGGAGTTATTCCATAACTTTAATGTTCACTTGCTTTAAGTCATTTGTTTTTTTTATGGTCAATTGTAACAGTGAATTGCAGTATGGCTAATAAAAACTGAATAACGCTACGACTCCACAGCAATAGGCATTGATATATCAATGAATATATCGCTCAAGTTGGGGGGAAATGGAGTAAAACCGGATATCTCGATTTTGATGTGAAATTCGTCTTTTTTTTTAACGGATAAAGTATGAATTACACTTTATTTGTCAAGAAAAAGGACCTATCATACTGGTGTAATTATTCCCGGCGTCTGTGTAGAAAAGTTTGTTCTACCGTATCAACTCTCTATCTAACGTTTTCCTGTTTATAAGCTATTTTGATTTATTTTTCATTTAAGATACAAAAATATTTTTAGTTCAGATTATTATACGTTTACTAAAGATTCATACCCTAGCAATAAGGATTTAACCCAATAATCGGCATAGTTCTGTCTTGTTTCGAAAATCTCTCCTGGCGGGGTAAAACTGGGAACTAACAAGTATAGTTCGTCTAAGCTAAGAACTCCTCTCGCCACAAAGTCTGAGGCCCTCTGGTGCTATGGAAACAAGAATGGCCCATTTTAGGGAGGGTAGCTTCACTCTAGGACTAACACAATAGACTGAAGAGATTCCCTTTCTCTAGCCGACCCGACCCGAAAACACTCCAAAACAGTGACCCCACACCCCTACTTGAAATAATCATACCTCGTTACCACAGTCAACGCCACAGGTTCAGACGAATATCTGGAGGAGTTCTTATTTTAGACAAACTATACGGCACCCTCTTCCTTTTGATGTGTGTCTCACGAAAGTTGCAATTCAGTGGAGGTAGAAGATAACTATAGTTTGTATACGGTAATAACTCCCCTTGCCACATAACTCCCCCTGCCACTGAGGATCTGCTGCTATGGAAACAAGATACACCGAAGAAAAATATTCTTTTCCCCTTGCCACCCGAGGCCAAAACCAGTCTTAAACAGTGACCCCACACCCCTACTTGAAAAAGTTATACCTCGCTACCATAGTCACTGTCACGGGTACAGATGAACAGATAGGGGAATTCTTAATTTAGACTTATACATCCAGAGTTGAACAAAGTTTTACGGGTTCCAGGACAAAATTTATTGCAGGCTCTATTCCCAAAGCACAAAAAAAAGAAAAACATATTTTTCTAGTTAGTAAAATTTTTGCAGAACATTTAAGCAAAATTGTAGCTTTCATGTAGATATAAAGAAACACACTACCGTTTTCTTTTGAAAAAACATTTCGCATTTTCCCAAAAAAGAAGAAGAAACTGCCCCGAGGCGTCAGCCGTCCTGGGCCCCGACGCAATTGTCCCTCCCCTTTACACCGCTCTGACTACATCACATGTAATTTACATGAAAATATTTCTTAAACTGTCATAAAAAATAGAAATCTCTCGCTATTTTTTCACTGAAATTCTAGTGTTTCTATTTTTTCCATAGAGACTTCTTTGCTTGTAACTGAACTCAACTTTCACGAGGTTGGGGTTCTGTTTTGTACAGTTTTAAATAGATTACTTAAATCATAAGAAAATCATTTCACTCATGGAAAGTAAACTATAAGCTTCATCATTCCTATTTAGAGCGAGAAATTTATTATAAGAAGGTTTTCATTTACGAAGTTAAAGGATTATTTAAACGATTAATAAATATATTTAAATACCTCATGCTCTCTTACAAGGAAAAAAGTATAATTTTTAAATCGAGGCAGTACTTAGAAATTTCTAAATGATTTGAAAACGTTGACAAAGGAATAAAATTCTTGAAAAACGTTGACAATTTCAACTAATAGGACTCAAAGTGCTCAATTTATTATTAGAAGATTTTCATTTATGAAAGTAAAGAATTACTTAAATCAATTATAAATATATTTAAATATCTCATACTTACATGGAAGGAAATTGTAATTTTTATTATTCCTACATCGAGAGAGAACTTAGTATCCTTTAAATGATTTGAAAACGTTTGCAAAAGGAGAAAAATGTGCTATCAAATAGTTTGCAAAGGAATAAATTTATACTAACAGGACTATAAGTGCTCAATTTATTATTATAAGATACGAAGTTAAAAGATTACTTAAATCATTAATAAATATATTTAAATATCTTACACTCTCTTACATGAAAAAAAAGTATAATTTTTATACCGAGACAGAACTTAGTGATTTCTAAATGGTTTGAAAACGTTGACAAAAGGATTAAAATAATTCTTTCCAAATGGTTTGCAAATTAATAAATTACAACTAACAGGACTCTAAACGCTCTATTTATTATTAGAAGAAGCGAAGTTAAAATTTTTTTTTAATCATTAATAAATATATTTAAATATCTCATACTTACATGGAAGGAAAATATAATTTTTATTATTCCTATATCGAGAAAGAACTTAGTATTCTCTAAATGGTTTGAAAACGTTTGCAAAAGGAGAAAAATGTACTCTCCAAATAGTTTGCAAAGGAATAAATTTCATTTCACAGGACTCTAAGTGCTCAATTTATTATTAAAATGTTTTCAGTTACGAATTAAAAAGATTATTTAAATCATTAATAAATATATTTAAATATCTCATACTTACACGGAAGAAAAATATAACTTTTATTATTCCAATATCGAGAGAGAACTTAGTATTCTCTAAATGGTTTTAAAACGATAACTCTCCAAATATTTTGCAAAAGAATAAATTTCAACTAACAGGATTCTAAACGCCCAATTTATTATTAGAATATACGAAGTTAAAAAAGATTTTTTTAATCTAAACGCTCTATTTATTATTAGAAGAAGCGAAGTTAAAATTTTTTTAATCATTAATAAATATTTTTAAATATCTCATACTTACCTGGAAGGAAAATATACTTTTTATTATTCCTATATCGAGAGAGAGCTTATTACTCTCGAAACGGTTTGAAAACGTTTGCGTTTGCAAAGGGAATAAATTTCAACTAAAAAGACTCTAAGCGCTCCACACTTTCAACTCTTCCCTTTTTGTTTGTTCTCCCTCACACTTAACCCTCTCTTACACAACTGGGAACCGAACCTATTGTTTGTGTCTTATAAAAACTAATAATTTCAAAGTAACAATCAACTTCTATGTGTGATAGGAATTTATGACCGGCACTACATTCCAATTTTTGGACTGCTTTGTAGGTTGCGTCGTCCCGGTAATAAATATAAATTCACTTTTCGAACATTATCATCTAACCGGAGAAAAGTTAAATGGGGTATAGTTTTTGCCATTGGCCCCATTGCTAAGCCAACCTATTGTTATGTCTACATTCGTTTTGCCGACCGTTTTATCTCAAAACTTTTTAGTGCTTTTTATACGCTTTTAATTCGAATAATAGACAACAATCTTATGACTCAGAAAAAGTTCCTTTTTTTGTGGAATTTTTAAAGGGGTGTAACCTTAGAGGGATTGCTCGAAAAGCATCAAAAGAACACCTTGGGATTGAAATTTAAGTTGGTGTTTAATTCATTTGTTTGATGTTGGTAATAAAATATGATAATCATTTTCATGGTATTGTAAAGACAAAAAATGTTTATTGTTTGACAATGAATGTTAGAAAATGGTGTTTAAAAAGAAATTTATTATGTATGTAAAAATAGTAAAATCTTTTATGAGGAAAGTAATTCTTTTAATGCTAAAATGGAGAAAACTATAAAGACAGTTAAATCAAGCGAGCGGAATAATTTATTTATTCTTGATTCTAAAAATTATTTTTTCATATCGAAATATTTTTATCCATGGATTGAAATTTGATAAAAGTAGCTTCTCCTTAAACTCTTTTAATATTTAAGAAACGATTCTAAAAATTCCTCTTAAGTTTTTAATTGTTTGACATAAGTTTTGTACAAATTATTTTTAATCATTTGTTTCATTTATATTTTCGGAATAAATTTGATTTGAATTCCTTGGATCTTGTTGTATTTTAAGAGACTGATCAAATTTTTTTTTTGGCTTATAAATTTTTGACATAAATTTAGAACTAATTCTTTTAAGCATTTGTTATTGTTTTATTTAAATTTTTGGAATTAATTTTGTTTTTATTCCATAAATGGAAATTTGATAGCGAAAAGAAAGCAGTGTCTGTTTTATACCTTGCTACATTTAAGGGACAATTCTAATGATTCCTTTGAAGCTGAAAATGTTTTGACATAAATGTTGCACAAATTCTTTTAAAGCATTTGTTTTATTTAAATTTTTGGAATTAGTTTTGTTTTAATTCCATGAATTGAAATTTGATAACGAAAAGAAAGCAGTGTCTGCTTTATATCTTGCTACATTTAAGGGACAATTCTAATGATTAATTCTAAGCTTAAAATTTTTTGACATAAAATTTGAGCAAATTCTTTTAAGCATTTGTTATTGTTTGATTTAGAATTTTGGAATTAATTTTGTTTAAATTCCATGAATTGAAATTTGATAACGAAAAGAAAGCAGTGTCTGCTTTATATCTTGCTACATTTAAGGGACAATTCTAATAATTCCTTTTAAGCTCAAAATATTTTGACGTACATTTTGCACAAATTCTTATAAAGCATTTGTTTTATTTAAATTTTTGGAATTAATTTGATTCAAGTGTCATGAACTGAGATTCAATAAGAAAAGAAATCAGTGTCTTCTCTATATCTTGCTGCATTTTTAAAAGACGTTTCTCAAAATGCTTTTCAAGCTTATAATTTTTTTATATAAATTTAGAACAAATTTTTTTAAGGGTTTGTTATTTTTTCTTTTAAATTTTTGGAATTAGTTTGGTTTAAATTCCATGAATTGAAATTTGATAACGTAAAGAAAACATTTCCTGCCTTATATCTTGTTACATTTTTTAATGGTCGATTCGGAAATGCTTTTTAAGCTTAAAATTTTTTGACATTAGTTTAGAACAAATTCTTTTAAAGCATTTGTTTTTGTTTTGTTTTAACTTTTGGAACTAATTTATATACAGTGGTGGTCAAAAGTGTGGACATTTTTTGAAAGTTTCATGTTTTTCAACTTTGTGTGCTTGTAGAATATATTAATTTTCCCTTAAATGCAAACATTTATATATCAAATTGAAGGTAATTTAATGTAAAATTTAATAATAAATACAGTATTACAATATCTATATTACAAAAAAAGTTATGCAACTAATAGTAAGATCTATCTTAGATTTGCATTTTTTTAAAGTGATACTTACACAATCAATACTTAGTAGGATAACCCTTATTTTTTAAGACAGCTTCACAGCGTCTTTTCATCGAGTGAACGAGTGTTTGGAGTTCATCTTTCGTAATCACATGGTGCCAAGAATCAATTATAGCTTCAATAAGTTGTCTTTTATTGGATGGGCGCTTTTTTCGTACAAGAATTTTCAAACGTCGCCACAAATTTTCAATTGGATTGAGATCAGGGCTGTTTCCTGGCCATGGTAATATATCTATGCCTTTATTTTGAAACCATGCTTTGCTTTGCATACTTTTGCTGTGTGGCATGGAGCTGAATCCTGCTGAAAAATAAATGGTGCGTTGTTGAGGAAGAGATATCTAATGGAATGTATCAATTTTGGTTTCAGGACAGTTTCGATGTATTTTTTGACATTCAGGATGCCATCAATCACTTGAATTCGGCCCACACCATCTGCAGACATACATTCCCAAATCATGACATTTGTTGGGTGTTTTGTAGTTGCTTCAATGCAATCAGGATGAAGTGCTTACCTTCTCAATGTCTCACGCATTTTCTGATGAAATTTTTCTACCTTGACGGCATAGCCGTTTAATTTTTCTATCGGCAGTAGCACTTGTGCATTTTTTTTTTGTGCCCTGATTTGACATCCTGAATGCCAAAAAATATATCGAAACTGTCCTGAAACCAAAATTGATACCTTCCATCAGGAATCTCTTCCTCAACAACGCACCATTTACTTTTCGGCAGAATTCAGCTCCATGCCACACAGCAAAAGTATGCAAAGCTTGGTTTCAAAATAAGGGCATTGATATATTACCATGGACAGGAAACATCCCTGATCTCAATCCAATTGAAAATTTGTGGCGATGTTTGAAAATTCTTGTACGAAAAAAACGTCCATCCAATAAAAGACAACTTATTGAAACTATAATTGATTCTTGGCCCCATATGATTACGAAAGATGAACTCCAAACACTCGTTCACTCGATGAAAAGACGCTGTGAAGCTGTCTTAAAAAATAAGGGTTATCCTACTAAGTATTGATTGTGTAAGTATCACTTTAAAAAAATGCAAATCTAAGATAGATCTTACTATTAGTTGCATAACTTTTTTTGTAATACAGATATTGTAATACTGTATTTATTATTAAATTCTACATTAAATTACTTTCAATTTGATATATAAACGTTTGTATTTAAGTGAAAATTAATATATTCTACAAGCACACAAAGTTGAAAAACATGAAACTTTCAAAAAATTGTCCACACTTTTGGCCACCACTGTATATTCCACGAATTGAAACTTGAGAAGGAAAATCTTTTATATCTTGTTACATTTAAGGGACAATTCCAATGATTCCTTTTAAGCTTATGATTTGTTTTGACATAAGTTTAAGAAAGTTTTTTTAAAGCATTTTCTATTGTTTCATTTAAATCTTTGGAATTAATTTAGTTTGGATTCCATGAACAGAAATTTGATAACGAAAAGAAAACAGTGTCTCCTTTATGACTTGTTACATTTTTTAAAATTTAACAAATTTATCTTGTTTCATTTGTATATAATATATATTGTTACATATCTTGTTTAATTTCTAAAAATGCTTTTAGGTTTAGAATTTTTTGTATAAATTCATAATAAATTATTTTAAAGCATTTTCTTACTTTAAATTTTAGTAGTAATGTAGCCAACAGTATATTTGGAGCATTTTTCTAAATGTAAGGCAAAGAATATGGCCATTTGGACGGTCCCGCCGGTACACTCATGGTATCAGAGTAAGTGCCCAGGGGGCTCCTTTGCTCGGGGCAGCAGTAGACGAGAAGAAACTGCCGTTACTCGCTTCCTCAGGGGAATTAATGACTGTTATTAATGACTTATATCGATGGTAATAAACACTTCGAAATCTGCACTAAGTGTTCTGCTGCCCAGGCTTCCCCTGACCACAGTTTATCTTGTCTAGGACTTACCAGGCAGGACCTGGTTCAAGCTTCACTGTTGGTGCTAGACTTTCTCAGAGTGAACGAGCTCATGGGCCTGATCTAGCTATGCTGGTCATGGGGATGAGAACAACAGCAACATATTTTCTAGGCCATTAGTGCCTGGCAGCAAATTAAACGCTTAGAGAAAAATAGCGATTAGCCTCAATTTTGCTTCAAATTGTTTTTTAGCATCGTTTCCAGATAAGTACTATATAAGTTTCCGAAATTTCCACTAAATCGCAGCTTAATTCACTGCCTATATAAAATTCATGTTGTTAGGCACCGAAAATGTTCTCTTGAACAATTAGAAAATATTCACTCTGCAAATATAAGCGATATACTTGATTCTTTGGAACTTTTTAAGACAAATCCAATAAAATCACAATCAAATTGAAGTCTCGATAGATCGAAGTTATGAGAGTTGTATGTGTTGAAAAGTATAAGTAAAATTTTTATTTCTCATAGATAAAACCCCCTTAACTTCTTAACTATCAGTATTATCGACATGGCTTTTGTCTGATTTTGATACAGCATCGAAGTATGCACAGAATCCAATATTTTGTTTGTCTGTCGGAAATCCTCCAGCACGGCAACGGATACTGCAGATTATCAGTGCATCAGCAGATTATTTTACATCGCAGTTTCAAAAATAAATAAATAAAATAAAAAACAACTAACACATTATCTGAACATTATTTTTCATTTAAAGAACAAGCCTAAAATATTGATGAAAGAAGAAGCAAACAAATCATTTTCAATTCCAAAACGTACTCAATTACTATTTGTTCCAGAGCCTTATTGAAATTTGTTTGCCCATCTGCAGATATGTAAACAAACGAAAAAAGGTACATAAGATTAAAATTTTTTTAAATATTGTTCTTCAATTACCTACCAACTTAGATTACAACTTAGAATTATTGGAGTATTGTTCTTCAATTACCAATC